GGTAGCCGCATCACCTGGTCCTCGCTGTCGACTTCTATGCCAAGTACCGTCACCACTGTTGCTGGGCCGACCACCTTGCTGAGGTTGTCGATGACCTGCGGAACCGTTGCTTTCAGTTGACCTCATTCCATTGACCATCAAGCACACGAACATAAGCACCTTGTTTAGTGCAGCGTACTGGTTCTTGTGCTGGCCTGCACAGCTATCAGGAATAGTTTTACCCAGAATGACTGGGTTGATGATCGAGAAAACACAACCTTGAGTCACTTTGGCTAACTGGATGACAGAAATTGTTGACAAGGAAGTTGCTTTGCTGACACGAGGCAGGGCAAAGCGGCCACGCAAGATTTATTTTTTCATCCTCCATTTTCGGAAAAATTATTTTTTATTCATGTGCCGCGTGACGAACCGTGACAAAACACGTGCATGCGTGGGCTAACTTGGCTTTGCTGCTCAAAGCCGTCATTTTTACAAGTATGGTATTGTTATTCCATATTCACTGGCTGAGGGAATGGAAAAGGGAAAAATCTGAAGAAAAAAATGATTGTCACCCCCAGAATTCGAACCGAGGACCTTCACTCGAGGCCAGCGATGCTCTAAGCACTGAGCTACGGTGTAGCCGTCATCCAAGATGTTCTAATTATTATTCCACAATCACAATGAAGCAATGCCGATTAACATGTGATGTCGGTGTTTTTAACCAGCTATGGAGGGGAAAGCTGAGAAAAAGAAGGAGTAGGTGGTTGCCATACCAGAGTGGTCGCCTTGACAAGTTTTTCTGCCATTGTTTGTATGCCGCGGGTGACCAATCTCGCCTTCAGAAGACAAGAATGAAGTCCAGTATGAGCGAGAGTGGTGTTTCGCTCAGCGGCAAGGAGGGAAGAAAGGTATGCAAACGCACTCTTGTTATTGTTTGCTTTGGGTTTTGTGAACCAAGTTGAACAGGAATCTCGTACATGTCGATATGCATTGCATCGTGTAGTGCAATTGCCCTGTACTATTTATTGTGTTGTTCATTGTGATGACAGTTCTCAAACTACCTTCATCTAGCCATATGCATGTGCATATGAGCACGCGCTGCATTGTAGTGGGCAGCCTATGGCCTCCGTTTTTTGCAGTTTTGTTTGTGGGGGATTAAGCTGTTTTTCTCTTTGTTTCCCTCTTCTCATTGTTTGGGAGATCTTCCCATGGTTCTGAATGCCACGGAAACTCCAAGGCATTGCACTCAGAAGATGACACAAGATTATTGCATGGTAGAGGCGACGGTTCGATACCAGAACGGCTTGACAGCCAAATTTGTATAGACCCAAACCGATCATCAGCGTTGATTGTTCACTTGAAATATGTTTGTGGAAGGAAACTGGCATGTTGAAGTTTGCTCTGAGGCCAGAGTCAATCGAACTGAGCCACTCCTTTGTGTTGACCCATTGCCTCCAAGTTGCCCATTTTTTCGCTTCAAATCAGAGGTGGCTCCAAACCGGACAGGTTTTAGGGTGCACGTCAAATTCACTCTGGGTCTGAAATTAGGTAATTGCTATTGCTCCACGACGGCCAGTACAGAGTAACAGTAAGCCTTGTGTGTGCTTCCATTAGTTTTGATTGGTATGCGGTGCTTTATTGGCGAGAGGCAAGCCGCTGTTTACTTGCGACAAGAAGTTGATTTTTCGAAAGTCGTAAAACTCAAGTCGCAGTGCGAAGCAACACGTCCATAACTCACCTGCTTGGTATGGCGCTTCTGGTCATCGCAGAGCCATGAAATTTTGGCTCGGAGTATAACACATCGTAGTCTCACTGTGACATATGTTTTCTAATCAAAATACCAAGAGAGAAAGTGAATATTGAGTCCGTTCCGGTTTGCAATCTATGTCCTATTTGAAACCGACGCCTCTACATAGTGTGGCGGAGGTGCGCTTTGGCCCTGGGTTTAAAAGTTAACGTGATCCGTGCACGATGCATTACGCAGTGGAGCGATCTAGGCCGTGGCCTGCTTGCCTCAAATAGATGTAAGCTGGCAATTTCTGTCACTTTCCGACTCGAAACAGACCTTCACCACATTGCTTCATGCTTCATTACCCCCCCCCCCCCCCTTAATGCCTTGTGACAACTAGGATATCATTCGCGCTTTAAAAGTGACCAGCCCTTTACATCATTATCGCAGCAGGGCTCAGATCGTTTCTGCTTCTGTCCTGCAGTCAGGCGAGGATGGCGAGCCGTATAACGCACTGCTGTACGACGTGGCTGCGCAAGATGGCAAGCAGTGGTGCATGGGCAACCTGACGCTGGTATCTCTAGACCTCCCCGGTAAGGGTGCGGTGACGTCATGCTATGCGTCATGATAATGTAATGGTGATGTAATGGTCAGGCCATGATGTTTGCATAAGCAAACAGTGGTGCATGGGCAACCTGACACTGGCGTCTCTGGACCTCACCCGTAAGGGTGCGGTGATGTCATGCTTATGTCACAATGATGTAATGGTGAGGTCATCATAGTCGGTTACTTGTAGCTCTACAATATCACCATGAACTGAGCATGATTGTATTGCGCAATGCTCTGCTCCTATTCGTGAAGACAACAAGCGACAGTATCTTCTCTAAGCCATTTGTTTCATACATGTACATGAAAGTTCCCCGTACAAAACTGAAATACTGCTGCCAGCGGTAGATACCTTTCAGACCTACTCACCAGGGAAAGTCCCTTTACATGGCTCTAAGTGAGGAAACTCTAAAATATTGCCAGTACAAGTACTCGTCGCAGTTAAATTATCAATGCCAAAATGGCTAAAGTATTTTTCGGTGTATAAGCCGCACTGGAGTATAAACCATACCCATTTTCCGGAGTATAAAGCCGCACTGGAGTACGAGTATAAACTATAAACCGCACCCCCATTTTTTTTCATGAAATACAGATGTCTACCCCATTAACCAACATTAATTTGATCATCGTAGTATAAGCAGCACCGACATTTTCTGGGTGAATTCCTGTTGTTTAAGGTGCGTCTTACACTACGTAAAATACGCTACTAACATTACTACACTACGGTATTAGCGTTACTACTGCCGTCCTCAGAAGTAGCTTTGTTTACCTCAGTCCTGCTCGCTGAATTGCAATCGCTTGAGTAACGTTCTCACGCGCTCTGCACCGGTTCTCATCCAGGGGCGTAGCAGCCGGTCCGGCCGGACCACTTTTTTTTAACACAATGCCCAAAGGCCCAGAATGCAGGATTTTGCACCCTAATTTCAAAATGTTCCCAGGCGAGAGCCCCCGGACCCCCTCCCTCCGGCCGGACCACCTCCAACGACGGAGCTACGCGCCTGTCATCCCAGTGTTGTGTTGGGGTCTTGGGTTGCACGGCACGGGACGTGCTCTTGTCTCGTGTGATCGCATTTCTTTGAGCAGCACTGTAGCACTAGTTACTCTAGTATGCACGTGTGTACTTAGAATGCTGTTAGCCTGGAGAGGGAAAGTCCCTGGTTTGAGTTCCGGTGATGACATGCCTGTTGTGAAATGATGTGTTGTTTTTCTGTGTGATGGCATTCCCCAAACTGTCTCGTCTAGTCGCGTGCATGTGTGATATGAGCATGCGCGATGTTGTAGTCGAGAGTCCTTTTGTCAGTCTTCTTGTTCGTCTCTGTCAGAGCAGTTTGCTTTTCCGTCTTGTAAATATAACATAATGTAACAAACCAGTCTTGTCCTTTGTGTCCTGCGTCCCGGGGAACGGAATGGCTGTGATTCCGTTACATGCCTATCCAAACTTCCCCTTCCTCAAACTCGCAAATATGGGTCCGCAGCAGTCACTGATAGCAGCATCAACGTCAGTGATTTCTTTACTCATTTATTAACAGTTCTTCTCTCCTTTGTTGCCAAAGTTCCCTGAAGAGCAGTAATGATAATGTTGTTTTTTGCTAGATTTCATTTTTGAGACGTATTTCCCTGATGAATGTCTCTAGAAAACTTGTTAGGAAACTTCATTATCCATCTTTTATTTTTGTTCATTACTACGTCCTGTGTCCGCTTCGCTGATTCTGCTGATCGCCATAATAAAGTAATAATATCAGCACACGAAGCACAGAAGCCAAATAATTTCGACTAGGCCTTTCGTTCCATTACCCTTCAAGTCAAGGACAACGGTGATTAACAATGTAACAAGTAAGTCCTTATATACTTTTACTTTATATTACTTTGGCATTGACACAGATAGCACTTGAAAAAATAGCGCTAGTGGCGCCAACAGCATATTTGGCGGTCAGAGCATAGACTAAATAGCACTTTAAAAGATAGCGCTAGTAGCGCTAACTACACAGTGAGACAATGAATATTACTAGTTTCAAACAACAGTGGGGACCACGGTACTAAAATGTCAAAACAGTGACAACTTTCGCACATACTTCTTTTGCACGCACAGTTCAGGCTTCAGCTTGGCAATGTACACTGCCTCCAGCACAGCAAGGTGAGATTTGTTGCGCGCACGCGCTTGAATCGAGAAGTGAGAGTAGGTGCCATGTTGCAGACTGCACTTAGGCATCGTCTCACTGTGTAGTTAGCGCCACTAGCGCTATCTTTTAAAGTGCTATTTGGTCTATGCTCTGACCACCAAATATGCTGTTGGCGCCACTAGCGCTATTTTTTCAAGTGCTATCTTTGTCAATGCTCTGACCGCCAAAGTGCCGGTTATAAGGACTTACTTGCCACCTTGTCAATCACCATTGTATTTCTTTACTCCTTTGTTAGCAGTTCTTCTCTTCTTTGTTGCCAAAGTTCCCTGAAGAGCAGTAATTATAATGTTTCTATGGCAATGCATACAATGGTGACGTGTTGGTGGTCGGATATCAATCCGTGGAATTTTACTTACGGAAAATTTGGATCACTCTGTATGGTTGTGTGTGTGTTTGTGTGTGTGTTTGTGTGTGTGTGTGTGTGTGTGTGTGTGTCCGTGTGTGTGTGTGTGTGCGCGCGCATATTTGGGTTTGTTTCTGCACTGATGCGTGCACGTGCTCAACAGAGAATGCTGCGATGACGATGGAAATCGTGGACCGATTCTTTGCCGTTCTCCAATACCAGAAGGTAGCGTGTCAGGAGCGTACGGCACCGCGACAGGGCCTCATGAACCTGCAGTGCTGGCCCAAGTACATCTGTCCGAATTTGAGCAGTGACGAGGTACGGCACACCGGCGGAGTATAAAGCTAGGTTTACAATCCGATAATCACTTCCATGACAGTCACTCTAAAAGTTCCATGTACTTGCTGAAAAAATACAGTCGACTTTGCGTATAACGACACTCGGCCGGGCATCATAAAAGTGTCCTTATTCCCGAAGTGTCGTTATACCCCAAGTCTCATTACACCTTACAGGTAGAATTGACTTTGCTCTGCGCATGGACATTCTGTCGTTATTCGCGAATTGTTGTTATATCCGCAGTCGTTATTAGCCAAGTTGACTGTTTGCTGCATTTCTGATATTTTTCTGAGCATCTTGGTACCGGACTCAACAGTCAAAACGTCGACAGAACACGCTCCGGTATTTGAACTCTACTATAGAAAACATGGATGTAGCGAATGGGATTTCGGCATTTGGCCTCTGGCTGGTGGGTCTGATCTATCCTCCCCACCGTTCAGGAGCCGCAGCTGACGCCTGATCTTGGGGTGGTACATGGTGGCGTCCCATGGAAGCGGAAAAGAGGTTCTTGACCCACCCTGTACGCAAACCCGTGCAATTTCTTTTTTAATGGAAAATAACTTTAATCAATGCGGTACCAAGGAGAGAATGTGTCTTGACTGCCACCACTCTAATGATGTACTGTCAATTCTGACATTGCCGTTGGCGTTGCATTCATTTTCTGTAACTCCGGAACTTGTAAACCACACCGAAAATTTGAACTCTGCCGAAGTTGGGTAGTTTTGAGGTTTTAATGGAAGAAATTGGTTTTACAGTAAAAAAATTCATGGTTCGCGTGAAACTCGGGCGGAGGCCGAGTTTTCCGAATCCCTAGAAACACCACCAGCCCCATCAGTCAAAATTGCGGTCAAATTTTTACGAAGTTCGACGTGAAGTCCAACCCAGTAGAAAGTTATTGACTCGGTGTGTGCATAGTGTGCCCACATGTATGCGCCGTGCACACCTCACTTGTGTAAGCGATGGCACAAGCAAGTGAGCAACGCTTCCGCCCCTGTTCAGAGAACCACGGCATGGCCAGGTCTTATCAACAATTCGGAATACGAAACAGTGATGAGGATAGGTCAGATCTGTCAGGTAATAACAAGAACAAACTGCCGGTCCCTATCATACTATATGGTACTGGAAGTTTGCGTGCAACTCTAGCTTCCCCAAGAGTCAAATATACGCCTGCCCATTGTTGCTTGTGCTTAACTTTTCCATATCAAGCAGTCGATCTGGCAAGCCTGGCCAAACTCACAGCCTATCCCTTCATACGTCTGACCAGTTCCAGTCGGTTACTGAGCTTTTATGTTTTCTTAGAGATTCCGTTTTGTCGTTTCTTATCACCTCCGCCTTTCCCTTCCAATCCTTCTTTGCTTCTTTCCTTCTAATATTCATGTTGATGTTAGGGACCAGCTCCCATTTAATGCGAGAAGATACAGTGTCCAACACTGGTGTGTAGTCATTGTATGCCAAAGTTGAATAAACACAAACAAAATTTAACAAACGAACAAACAAGATTACTCTGCCCAATACTGTGCAGAGTCCATAGCAGAAATGTATGATTGTATTCTTGTGTGTTTGTGTGTATGTGTGTATGTGTGTGTGTGTGTGTGTTTGTGTGTTTGTGTGTGTGTGTATGTATGTGTGTATGTGTATGTGTATGTGTGTGTGTGTGTGTGTGTGTGTGTGTGTGTGTGTGTGTGTGTGTGCCTGTGTGTATGTGTGTGTGTGTGCCTGTGAGTGCACATGTGTGTGTGTGTGTGTATGTGTGTGTGTGTGTGTGTGTGTCTGTGTGCCTGTGTGTGAGTACATATTTGTGTGCTATTTCTCTCTAGGCTGATGAGGCACATGAGTCTCGCCCGCCATCCACGGATTTTGAAGTTGCGAGGCTGAAGATGCAGCGGATGCTCATTGATATCAACCCAGTCGAACGTAAGAAGCGTTTGAAGGAAGAGAGAGAGAGGGAAGCAGCCAATGCTCTGAGTGCTGATTCCGCCACCGCAACGTAGAGAAAAACTTGGCACCAGATTCGCAAACGTATAGGAAAAAGATAGGTCAATGTTGCCGCTCTCTTAGGCTCAGGCTGTTTGTTTTAGACCACCCTGTTGCCTGAGAATGGGAAAACAACATGAAACCCAGACTTGCAAACAAGATTTTTCTCTCTGACTCCACTTCTGCTCCAATTTCTCTCTCTCTCTCTCTCTCTCTCTCTCTCTCTCTCTCTCTCTCTCTCTCTCTCTCTCTCTCTCTCTCCATGTTGTAAACCTGGCGATGTATAGTGGCATCTGGTGCACGAACGGAACAAAGCTACCAGATGTGTTCTCATCACAGAAATGCTGTGCAGAGTTTTGTGCAGAGTTTCGTCTTTTTCATGATATCTCAATTAGGTGAAAGTCTACAATTAGATATCTAATCTATTTTATGCTTGGACACCGAAAGAAAATCACGGTGGTGAACGCGACAGTGTAGTAAACGTGTATGTATTTGAAAATTATTTTTCTGCACTAATATTCAGCGGATAGTCCACAGTCATAAACTTTTGCTATGAGCCTCGTCTATTCCCTAAGCAATTAGACTATTCACAAGAGATCAGTCATATCTTGGCCATAGCATGGAATAATTTAATTAGTGAAAATTCGGATTGAGGTGGCAAAGTTGTGATGGCCAGTGAGCAGCTGTGTACCTTATAATATTACAGTGCACAATTTAGCAAAGTGTTAGAAGCTTTTAGAAAATCTGAAGATGTTGCTGCTCCATAAGGTCCTTGGACTCGGAAGCAGGATTCGATGCTCAGGGTTCTGGCCAAAGGGGTAGGGGGGGGGGGGGCTGCCCCCCCCCCACACCCCCCACCTGCATCCACCTCGTGTATGGTCCAGTAACAGTATACACACACCACTGTGTCAATCAGAGATATTTAGACAATGTATACTTTTGAAGTAGTTGGTAGACACTGTATGGCGTAGCTTTCAGCAAATTGATGTACAGTGAAACCTGTCTAAGGCGACCCCTCAAGGGACGAGAAAAAGTGGTCGCCGCGGCCAGGTGGTCTTCTTATCCAGGTTCAGTGGGTCACGTGACCATATCCACATGTGATACATTATTTTGATCCGTGCATCACAGTGCACACAACATGCTACTCCAGCACGAATCATTTGCCTGGGGTCCTCAGACCTGTCAAACGTCGTGCATGCACCATGTACATCTACACTTCCTGTAACACTGATGTGTAGATCTACCATGCCTGGTGCACCATGCAATGCGTACATTTACATGACTAGCACTGTGCAACGCGGTCGCGGGTGGGTGGTCGTCGGTCGCGTTGAGCAAGTGGTCGCCTTATCCGACGTGTTTTGAACGTGAACGCGTCCGTGACAAGGACAAGTGGTCGCCATGGTCGAGTGGCCGCCATATCTGAGTGGTCGCCTTACAGCTTTTACTGTACATAACTGTATGTTGAAACCATTTTGGTCGACTGAGAGATGCAGGGCTTCGCCACCACAATTCTTTTTATCTCTTCTTTTTTTGTGAATTTACGAGTACATAGTTTACTTCTGGTATTTGTACTGGACTGAGTGCGCAACCGAGTCACTCTCTTTATTCTGTTGATAACTTTTTTACCTCCAAAAAAATTGTTTGACATGGTTTATTATGTGGTTGCAACCAGCCCAGCCACCCACTCATGCCAACACAGATTCATAGAATTGAACAGCACAGGCGCCCGGTGTGAACCAATGAAAGAACCACAAGAAAAGTAGCAAACCTAACTAGCCTGGGTTCATCCTAACCTTACACCAAATGCCTCAATCTAGAGAAAGCTCAGCTGTGCTTTGCTCTGTAACATTATTCAAAATTATATGTACAGGGAGCTGGCATGGCCTGATCAGCTCATTATGGATGTTATCGGGCGCAGGAAAATCTCAATTGACGGTTCAAAGAATAAATATTAAAAAAATAAAATCATTCAAGGACAGGAACTTGTTTGATTGATTGAGAGACTGAGAGTAAAAGGCCATGACCGATCACACCAGCCCTCACATACAGCAAGATAATACAAGTCATACAACAACAAGTATATATTATGTAGGTATGAAGAGGCTCAGTAAGTTGAAAACAATGATCTAAATGTTCACTTGCAAACTGTCTATTTTGTCTGTAGACCTGGAAGTATAAAAGGCAGCACAAGCACAGGTCATGATCCAAAACGCGTACAGTAATTAGTAACTTTCGCACAGATTGAGCAGGCACAACGGAGATTCTAGCTGCCATGGCTATAGAGACAATGGTTGCCATAGCTGCAATGATTGCCATAGCTACCATGGCTACCATAGCTACTGTAGCAAGAAGGACCCATGAGTGTGTGTGATCCCCGGTAGCCTAATCGGTAGGGCACTGTCCCGGAAAGACAGGGGTGCTGGGTTCGAATCCCGCTCGTGGATCCTTCTTTTGCAACATTGGCGCCTGGCAATGGCTCGAACCCACGACCCATCGTACCCCCCGCGAGCTAGGTACGGCGTGAGGACACAGCCTGTTGGGGCGGGGGAGCAGTGTAGCAAGAAGGACCCATGAGTGTGTGTGATCCCCGGTAGCCTAATCGGTAGGGCACTGTCCCGGAAAGACAGGGGTGCTGGGTTCGAATCCCGCTCGTGGATCCTTCTTTTGCAACACTACCACAACTGCAGTGGTTGCCTTAGTTGCAACGGCTACTACTTCTTCACAATCCTATCCTAATCTAATTGCAAGGGACTCCTTCACCTGGCAGCTAGGTACAGCATTGTCATTGTTTGTGTACATGTGCATGATCGTACATGATTGTACATTCTGTTCATAGCCGGCCAGAGACTGAGGGGACATGCTGCACCACACTCAGTAAGCTCTGTCCCTGGACGACCAGTTGCAGAATCAGTAGTCATACTCTGCTGCAATGTCTACAAAAAACTGATAGTTATAGCGGTGTTTGGCCAATAGCAGTGGCCTTGGCACTGCTTGCTCTGCGATGGGGTTGCCTGAGAGAAGCACTCGTTCCATATCCATGACGGCTGGACAGCTGGTCAGAACGCTCACTCCACTGTCAGTGATGCTGTTCTTCTCCAGATCTATAATCTCCATGGAGTGGTTGCACTCTTGCAGGGATACTAGCAGTGTGGTGACATCATCTCCAAGCTGGTTTTCCCCCAGGTTGAGAAAGACTATCGACAGTGGTCGCAGAGTGTCGAAAAGCTTCGCAGCGATGCTCATATCAGCCCCTGTCCTCCCCAGCGAGATGCATTTTATATGCTTGAGCTCTGCCAGGCTAGAGAAGAAGAGAGCATAGTCGGTTGACGTGGTGTCAGCATCTTGGAAGAGAGGATTCCTATTCAATCTTAATACTAGCAGTTCTGAGTTTCTGAAGGCGTCAACAAGAACAGCAGCTCCACTCAGGTGTATGTTATTACAAGAAAGGCACAGGTAACGGATATACTGATATTGGCTGGGCCCATGCATCACCATGCAATGGACGCCAATGTCGTTGAGCTGGTTGTAAGACAGGTCCAATTCTTTCAGGGTAGAGTCGGTCACAAGGAATTCTCCCATCTCAGCCATGGATTCTTCTGGTACAAAGCCGACTAGAATGCCACCGTGCTTGTTGACCAGGGTTGGCACGCTTTTACGGATGACGGAGACGGATGTGACAGACCAGCACCTGAAGTGCACGGCATCATTACCACAGACTCCAGACTGAGCAAGCTTTTCAAGTAGATCTAGTGTAACCCCAGGATTTCCGTTTAGCAGGATTTCACACTGGGTTGGTTGTGAAGATGGAGTAGCAGGAGCGATTGAAGCACAATATGCCCGTTCCTGAGAGCGTCGACTGCGAAAGAAGCTAAGCAGATGACGATCAATTGTGTCGCTGAGCTGATTGTCGGTAAAGTCGCATTCGGCTATTGAACGATGGACGCTAAGCGCTGACAAAACCTTTCCAAGGTCATCATCACCAAGGCCAATCTCATCCAAAATAAGAGTCTGCAGATTGGGCAAATGGGTCATGAGCCGTGCTAGATCTGTCCCGCACCCGTACCCCAAAGAACTCTCTCCCAGTGACAATGTTTCGAGGTTTGAACACAAGGAAATGTTCTCAGCTAATGACGCCAAACACACATTGTCTAGTTTGCAATGTCTCAGTGTCATTGCTGTCAAGGAGGAATGCATGAAGCACGCTGCCAGGGATGCTCCATCTTGCTCTGCTTTGGTAAGACGAGTAGATTTCAGCTGCAGATTCTCCACGCCTGTTGACACCTTCAGCTGATCCGAAATGCTCTTCAGTGGAAATCCACTCAGGGGATTGGAAGATATGTTCACAACACGAGCCTTTTCAAGAAGTGGTGCAAGTTCTGCTACGTGATGCTCTTTCAAATTGCAGCCTTCCAGATTTAGAGAATCAACAGTTCCTTTGTCCACAATCTCCAATACACTACACACAGATTTGATGTCTGTGTCATCAAGGGTCATACCAGATAAATTCACAGACTCCTTGGCAAAGGACTGCGGGGGAACAGAAGTGGATTTTGAGCCTAATTTTCCTGTTGACAGGCGGTGTTCCATAACACATCGCATCAGGAAAAGCCGAAACCTCTTCGCTAAGGATCCTGTGAATGACGATGAATTCTTCATTCCAGACAATATCTCATCCAAGACGTCACTCCTAGCTGTGCCGACAAAGAACTTCCAGAACTGCCACCTCTCCTTCTCCACGCCAAAGTCTCCCAAACATTCTCTAGCGCTGCTAATTGAATTCAGTTCCGAGGTACATGCACGTGCAGCACACCACTCTTGCATTGTTATGTGTGGGAGAGCGATGGTGACTCGTCCTCGGTAAGATGACCTCCGATCTCTGTTCTGCAGGAGTAAGCCAAGCTCTAGACACCTGCGCACAGCAATCTCTGGCAATGTAGTTGCCGGAAAGGAGAACGACCGCTTACAAAGGCCTTCTAAACAAAGACCGTTCAAAGCAGAAAGAGCTTGCACTATCTCCACACACTCAGCATTGCGTTCACTTGGCCTGTCAGTTCTTACAAACTCTTCAAGGTGATACTCAACGACAGTGTATAGGCTTACCTCCTCGCCGCATTCGAATAGCCGTCCTCCGCAGAACTCACTCTGGACTGCTCGTGCCAAAGACACTTTGCCGAAAGTGGCACCACGCCTCTTCTCCAGTCGTGCAATGGCGGAGCACAGGTACTGTACATAGAACAGAGTAGTGCATGCAGGAACACTGTTAGAGAGAAAGTACTGCTGACAAAGTAGTGTGGCCAGTAGTGGCGTGCTCTGCACTGCTTGTTTCAAATGTTTGTAGGCCGGCTGACTGAGCTCTGACATGCATGCCATGCCGTCTTCCTCTCCTAGTCGACTGCACACAAACTCTTGCAGCTGCTTTTCGCTGAATCCACCAAGTCGATAGTGCATGGCGCAGTCTGGTACAATCTCGTATGCCTGTTGGCATGGGCGGCTGGTGATGATGGCGGAAGCACCCATTAGCATGCTCCTCTCGCCCTCCATGAATGCACGTGCGGCTGAGTTGTAGCGGAAAGCGTCTGCACTGCTCTCATCAACACCATCAATGATGAGCAGTACACGGTCAGAGTTAGCTGACAAGTGCTCCAGTACGATTTCCCTCTCCTTTTCTTTCAACATGCCGGTCAGCCCGAGTTCGTCAAAACCGAGAAAATCACTCCAACTTGTTGTGGAAAGGCTGTCTTCGTCTTGCACACAGATGGGAATGACAAAGTCAAACTGATCACGTAGATCATCAGCAGCAGTGGCAGCATCGTCTCTTTCCTTGTATACGAAATCTGCCATCACCCGTCTGCACAACATGGTCTTGCCTCTACCAGCATCTGCCATAATCATGGTCTTCCATGGTTCCCTTTTTCCCGCACGCTCGCCAGGTGAATCTTCAGTAGCATTTGCTCCATTCGACCTTGCTCTTCTGTTTTGCTGCGGTGCCGTGAGAAGTTGAGACGGGTTCTCCAATGGAAATGATCTCTGGTCGTCCGCTGCCTCTTCTAGCTCAGTTACTTTGCCCTTGCCTTTCTGTTTGTATGCTCTGGCAGCACGCAAGGCTTCTCTCTGACTCAATGCTTGCATGGAAATGTATGCCTTGCGAGCATCCTCCTGCAGGAACTCGTCAGCAGCACATGACATATCGGATCTCCTACAGCGTTGTCGGCACAGGTTCTGCAAATACTCCCTATATTTTTCCAGGCATTTCTGCTTTCTTTCCTCCGCTGTCAGCAATGCCACACGTTCGTGTTCAGCTACCTGGTGGTACAGTTCACACACCTCCTCTATCGACTCTTCCAGACAGCCTACTACTCTGGACTTCAGCAAGCGACACTTCACTAATTCCTCAGGGCTTCCAGTTTTCTTGCATTGTTGTATCATCGCTTCCAGCTGTTCAGCCACCTCCGTTTCACCTACCTCACGGATTGCTTTACATAGCTGGGTGAATTCCTTAGATGGAGGACCATCGCCATCGGGAGCATCGCCAGCGATGGCATCCTTCTCAGCCGACAAGATAATCAGTTGTCGCAGCAGCTCAGTTACTCGTTCGTGTGGGATCAGTTGGTCGTGGATAATTCGAGCGTACTCGACGCTGCCAATATCAAGCATTTGAACCGAGACGATAATGTCTACAATGTCCATGACCGTTGAATGGAGGCGTTTGTGGAGGACTGGAAGCAACTCCTCCAAGGCTAGGATCTCCCACCACTTCATCGCTACAGTAATGCCGGACAGCTATTTTTATCACCCAAGTAGCTCCCTCTAACGCCGGCGAGCTGGCACTGAGCTTTCGTGCCGCACACGCTTCAACGACGGTAGGCCGCTTTCTACTAGACTACTCAGTCACCGGACCACAAACATTTCGTGTGGCGCGAGTTTTCTTCCTTTCCACGGTCTTTTTGTCTGTGTACAAGTACAGACTGAGTACAGACTCAGTGCAAGCCTAACCGTAGTTTAGCTATCTGTAGACTGTGGAATGACTACCGGTATGTAGGGGTGGGTATGAATGCGAGTAGGTCTACATTTTTGAACAGGTCTGAATCTGTACTGTACTCAAACACATCTTCCCCTAGCCCCTGTATCACAATGTCATAATAATAGACCGATCCCCTTATTATACTGGGTTCGAGCACGGGGGCAACCTCACTCGCGATCGAGCTAGTTTTTGAACGTGACAGCATCTTTGACAGTGTGTTTCAGGTTTGTTTTGGAATGTCTTCTGCTTAGTTCAAGTAGTTTGCGATGGCTTCGAGCGGTGCTAAACCTCCTGCTGGTAGGAGCAGAGTCTCCGAGAGAGACATGGACTGTGATGCCGCTGCAGGATTTTTTCAAGGCGCGGGAGGGAATGATCTCGGGCCACAAACAGAAGTTACTCCAGAGGTGAGTTTTTTTGTTGTTGAAATATTCGAATCGCGAATCGTGTTGTGAGATTTATTTTGTGCCTAGGCTACAGCAGACCATATTTCTTTCTCCTTGCGATCGGTGATGAAGATAATAGTAACCTTTTTCTGGTCTGTCTTTTCCTTTCCAGAGTCATCTTCTATGAAGGTTACCGTGGTGCTGCCAAGTCACCAAGTCGCGATCAGCAGCCCTGAAGTGGAAAAATCGATTTTCCAACGATCTGGTTGGACATCAGCCACTAAAGTACTTCTGATTTGCCTGTAGTGACAACAGCAGCCATCCTTGGACACCTTGCAAAGACAGGAAAAGCCACTGGTGGAAGCGACTGCTATGAGATGACGATAGCAGTGCAGTGGTGATCGCTGTTTTGTCAAGTCGAAGGGCTAGCCAACCCAGAGGAAGCATAAAAAAAACGATGAGCAGTGCGTGGTATTTGTTGAGCGTGAAGAGCTAGAGGAGGACAGTGCAAACACATGGACGGAGTGGATGGTGTTTGAAGAACAGTGCGCTGTGTGCCGGCTGGTGGTCTTTTTCAGCATGTATTCGTGCTGCTTCTTGTGCTGGAACACTTCTCGCCCAGGAAGGCAGATTGCGTGCTCCCTGGCCCTCAGTTGGCAATGGGGCATTTGTTCCAGGAACATTACCCCAGAGCCAATGATGAGTCGTACCTTTGAAAAGTCGAAGCTTGCTGTTAATCGCAAGCGTAGTGCAGTGGATTGCTCCCTCTTCGAAGCACAAGGGCCAAAGCTTGCCGCTGTCTGCAGCAAAGTGTGTGTGCGGTTCTTTCGAACCTATGAATATACCCCCTGCATGTTCAGAGTGAACTATTTTCTAGTATATTTAACATCCTCAACCCGCCACCACCATGCGCTCTTGGCCGAACTTATGCACGAAGCATAAACACACCAGCACAGCAAGGACACTTCCGTTGACAGATATTGTTTACGCCTCTAGACCGCTGTTTCTTTTCTTCGAGCTCATCGTTAGAGGAGGATAGTAGCAGGATACTAATGATGATATAATATAAGATGATAGACGGTTTATGGTCCGATATTGATGATTGAAGATCTAAGAAAGCAATGACAGTGATTGCGAAATGGATAATATTATCATGATTATATGCCAGTCTGGTAATGCGTTGTACTAGTGGACAGTATTGAAATTATCCTGCATTCGATGCAAATATTGGTATACCTTTGGTTTCAGTATTGGAAAAAAAGAGTAAGAGAACCTGGTTGATTTGGTTGCATCTGCGACTGGCTACCGGGTGTTGTGATCAGCAATGTTACCATGGGAGAAAATAAGAGCGCAAAGATCTGTTGGGTCTTGTTGTGCCGGTGCGAGAACCCTAAGTGCATGGCAAAATAGAACTGTTTCATCCACAATGCAGAATGTCTTGCGGTACATGGCATTGATGACTGAACATCTCGCCCAAATGGGGATCATGCCCAAACGGAGGAACGAGACATCTTTCCAGCTCAGCTAGCTATATAGTATATAACGTGAAACGGATGATTAACTTGTGCCACGCATGACAGCTTCTGTTCCATTCGGCCCAGGCTTAGACACATCAATGCCAATAGCAGCTGATCCTCCATTACATGCTCATTGGCGATTTACGGCCACCTCCAACTGTATCCGCCGTCCCTCAGCTTCCGTCTTCGCAGATCTGGCTCGGCGCAGTACATTTTCTCGGCTAAGCTCAAAGAAGTTCCACAGAGCGGTCCAAACACCTGAAGGCAAACCAGTCAGAAACTGGAGCGGCTCAGAGTCTTTCTTTATGTTATTGTACGTAAGCTGTTTTTCGGCTTTCTTCACCCCATCGTCCAACTGCTCCACGAGACTCTGTACACGAGCTCTACTTGCTGCCAACTCCTGATGCAGATGCTGCACTTCCATTACAGGACCAAACTGCACTAAGCCAGGTTCCTTTCCAACTCAAAATGCCGTTGCCTCTCAGCAAAATACTGGTTTGCGAGCATGGGGAGCTCGTGATGCAGACGCTGCACTTCCATGACCGAACTGCACTAGGCTCAGCAAATACTGTTTTGCGAGCATGGGGAGCAGAGCGCCCAGACTCCACTCTCTTGCGAAAAGCAAACCTGGTACCGTAGGACAGCTGTTTGGTTTCCTGGACTCATCCTGCCCTTGTAGAGCTGGGCAAAACGATTTCGACTTCGGGATCGAAATGATCGCTGCAACTCAAATATTCAGAGTGACCCTAAAACTACGTCCTTCCTCACGGGGAATAGCCTGGATCCGCTTGCTCCAGGCCGCTGTGGCTCCACACGAGGAAAGGAGTGAAATGACTTGTTTGCTTCGTCCTCCTGTTCTGACAGTGAGGAACGTAGCAATGATCCTGAGAAGGCATCCTGAAGTCGTAAAAAGGAAGATCTAAACAAAAACCATACTGACCAACCACCACAATCTCAATCCCTTGGCAAGACATGCAGAATCCCTGGAGTTCTCTCAAAATCCCTGGATGGCACAAAAACAAGTGAAAAAGAGCTTTTCCCGCCAAAAAACGTTCGACTCTGCAGCTGTGCGTACAGCACAGATCGACCCTGTAGTGCAGTTTGATCAGTCGGCGCCCGCCTGTCACTCTGTCAGTGCAGATCTTGCATGGTCAGGTCTTTAAGGGGGCTCAACCCCGAAGAGGGAGCAAAAAATATTATGGTAAATCGATCTGAACTGTGTGTTTTCAGATGGCCAGACACCTAGAGAACTGGTCTGGGCTATTTCAAGGATAGGTTTATTATGTGGTTCCCCAGCTATGGGGGTGTTATTGTACCTATGTTTTTCGGCAAAAATTCAATGATTTCTCACTAAAGGCGTAAAATTCCAGTTGGTAATGCTTCAAAAATCCTGAAAGTGGGTATGGAGGGGCCTACAATACTGTCTCCTTTGGAAAATGTCCACAACATATGACCAGACCACTGTGAGAGGCCAAGGTAGCCCAGAATGTGATTTGGCAAAACGCGTATTTCAGCAGACCGATCTTTAGACTTGTTTGAATAGTGGAGAATCGAGACAATAACATGGTCCATTTTATGGTCATTATCTGCTCTTCAAGGCCATAGGAAGGCTCTACAAAAATAGATTTTTATGTCCACCATCTCGTTTCTCCGTGAGAAACAAAATTTGTGACGGATTTTGCATATTCAACTTGAAAGTCAGATTCAGCATTGTTGACAAAATGAGTGTATCGACTTCATTCAAGCTTCACTTTGACTATGTAGGGCGAGAAGCATTTGCTATAGACCAATCCCAGACAATACCCCATGCAACAGTCACAACTGAATTGTGTTATTCACATCTTTGTTGTATATTGTGAGTATGTACATACATTTTCTAGGGTACCCTGTAAGAAGGCCTTAGCCTAGGCCTGTGGGGATTGCCCTATCAAAAATTTGATAATAATAATAATACTATAATGTACATACATACATACATACATGCATGGGTATATCAATGTACAAAACAACGGATTATAAGTATAACGCTTTCAATGAGCAACTTGAGTTGCTTGGTTACTGCTGGATGCGATGGCTAGCAGCCACTGTTGGTATTGTGAGTTCGCGCCTCCAGTGTGCAGCACAACGTGAATGTTTGAGCAGATAACTGCAGCATCATCACGAGTGGTAGAAAGTGGGGACGATGCTGCACCTCCTGCAGCTGCTGGAGTACTTGTGCGGTCTGGAGCAGTGTGTAAAATAGGGGTGTTGGTGTTGGGTCTTCCAGATGCTAGATGATGTGTTATGCGTTTTGCAATAGCAGAACTCGTTGTGACTAGCACACGCCCATCGCCACCCGGTTCGTGCAATAATCCAAGGATGCCAGTTCCCTGATTCCTCTCAAATGCCAACACCAGATGATTGTACCTGTAGGCATGATATATAACGTTGTTGTTGTTGTTGTTGTTGAAGTAGACTTCTACAAACACCCATGGTGCAGCGAAACTCCCACTCCAGCTTGTTTGCTGAGACTGTGACAGAAGCCTGACTAGTGCTGCAATGTGTACTGCTGTGATTCATGATTTCAGTTGACATTCCTTGCCTTGCCTTGCCTGGGTAATATTGCAGTTCTTCACAACATGCATAACACAATTTTATGCTGCATTTACAGTCTAGGTCAAGGCCGAGCTCATGAAAATGTGGCAACTTGACCATGCATAATATTACGTGTCTGTGACTGTCTCTGCTCAAGTTGTTCTACAAGGCATATTGCCAATATTTCAATATTCATTTTTATAATATTATACAGATTCCTGTCATAGTTCAATGATACAAGCACAGCCATACTACCTTGAACCCACAGCCTTCTCCTGAGAAACACAGGCACATGTCAGAACTCACCCAGTGCAGCCTTAGAGTTCATAGGATCCATGCTTTCCACTCCATCCAGCATGAGACTCAGATGTCTGACCAAATTCTCCTGCCCACACATAGAACACTTCACTGGCATGTCCCTATGCTGTTTATATATACTGGCTGTTCCAGACCACACTCATTACTCACAGAGATCAAGTCCCTACTTGCAGACACTACACTCTGACTCCACTATCTCCAGGTACTGCAGGTACAAGACCAGTTTTTCTCTCACAGTCGTCAGTAACATTTTTATCTGGCGACTGGAAAAGAAAAAATAGATATCGTTCCAAGTGCCACTCAAGTGGATGCACTTGAACTTGAGAGAAGCATGTCACTTACCTGCGTTCTGAGACTGGTACATGTATCACTGGTAGCTGGGCTCTGGACAATCTTGCAGGTTTACTTGTCTTCACTGGCAGGCGAGACTGAGAAAAGGGCATATCTGAGCTGGAAGTTAGAACTACACGACCTGAAGAAGCTTGACCTGAAGAAGATTGAACACGCTTTGTTCCTGAGCGCCCACGAAAACGGCCGTGCCTATTGATAACTACAAGTACTTGACACGAAACTCCATCGATCGCCGACATCCAGCAAACCAAATGGAAAACACAAAACGTTCAAACTGTTCAAGGACTGCAGTTTCTTTGAATTCTCGCAAAATAAACTTTTGAACACGACTATTTCTCGCAAAAAAACTTTCTCCAGCCGCGGACAAAATGTTTTCAAACGCGAAATTTTGCATAAAATCATGCCCAGATTTCGATGCGCGCGCAGAAGTACTGAGTCCCCTTAAGTGACGTTCTGACACGTCATGACCAGTGCCACTGTGACACGCGTGACCAGTGCGGAACTACATCGATCCCGCGTTTCTTCCGTGGCATGGCGTCGAGCTGTACCGCTGCACAGAGGACTCCTAGGATGTACGCGTACCGTAAAAAAATGCAAGTCGCTCCGTAAGTTTGAACTGGAGTTACATGCGCGTGCATGCATTTCAAAATACCAATTTCGCGTAAAACTACCTTTCTGAAAACGGTCATAACTGTTGTAATCTTTGTTCTATTTCCAAAACAAAAACAGTTCTGTGCTCAGGTTACATGAAAGAATCGTTTGAAATCAAGTTTGCTCACATAGAGTGAATTTAAATTTTTTTACTGCGTGGCAGAGGTTTTCAGTGGGCCCGGGCTCAAAAGGTTAAAGTGCTGTGCACAGTTCGAAGTGCGAATGAGCACCGTACATACCTTTGAAAAAAGTTAAAAACCGGGACGTTCGGAGAGAAACCATGGAGTTTTCAGGAAAATCCTGTATCAGACAAAACTTTGGTTTTCCGGGAGTTTGCTTGAAATCCCCGGGACCCCGGGAGGAGTGTTGATTTTCCGGGATTTTCCCGGGAAAAACGGGAGGGTTGGCCAGTATGAAAAACAAAACAGCTCAAATCAAAAGTCCTTGTGGCATTTTTTGTAGACAGGCTTTCACTGCGTGTAGATTTCGCGTGCTCTGCACTTCGCATGCGAGAAGTCACGCACAGCCGAGGTGAGGTTGGTGCGTGTGTGCAGCAGGATCCCACGCGACTGCGGAGTTGCCCCCTTGCTCGAACCCAGACAATAATAAGGGGATCGGTCTATTATAATGTTTTAAAATGAGTCTACGTAACATTGTTTTGGGGGCCAGGCCGAGCAAATGTCACGCAAGCGCTACACACGGTATCATGACTCATGGTCGTTGGTCGCTTGACAGAAAGCCTCTCTTTTTACAGGCAAAAAATACACCTCCATGAGTCAACACTGACTCACGCTGCTATCTGGTGTTCACGAGGTGTTTGTCGCGCTGGAAAACGGAGCGTCTTCGTTAGTTTATATCCCTGGTGATGTTTTCGCCTAGAGTAGAGTAGAGCAGAGAGCACTATACAATCTTTATAGGTGGTGCTCTTCAAGTTCAGGCATAATCTTCCTCAGCCTACTCAAGCTCAACTTTTGAAACCGTGACTGTGTATTGAGCAGGGAGTGGTGCTTTCTTGCAGGTTTGCCGAGTTGACGGTTCGATGGACTTCTCGTATGCTCTAGATGACAGTCCGAGTCGTGAGACAGTCAGGTGAGAATTCAAGTCGGCAGGAAAAGCGCTAGCTCCCATGTAGGGAGCAACACAGAATTCCCCACTGAGTATCTCTGAAGTCACACAAACCTCTTCTTCAAAATTAACACAATGAATGGAAATGTCATACAAAAATTAGGAAAAAATAAAGCACGAAAATGGGTCGTTGGTTTCTTCTGAGCCACTCAGTCGTAAAGTACGACTCCCTGGTCTTCAGGGAGTCGTACAAACCCGTTTGTGCGCCTCCCTGGTCTTACTCTTAGCACACATCCACTGGCACTGGTCTTACTGTCTTAGCACACATCCACTTGGCTGAAACTGTCTCCATGGTTACCATGGTTACTACTGCAGGTACTACATGTAGGGTAGTAAAAAAAAAAAAGTAAATTATCGTATCCGTTCCCGAAGGGAACTCACGACGGCCGCTAACACCCGATAAACCCTCAAGTCAAGTCCTGCCTGGGAGCGGTTTTTCCAGCCGTGCTGCTACCCACAGTCAACTGGGAACTTGTGGCCAGGCACAAGGGGTACATGGATGCAGCTAATGGGGTCGTTTTCGGCACTTGTGCCAGTGGTTGTGAGACTTACCCACTCACCCCCACCGTTAGGCGCTGCATCTGCCGCTAGGGTTTATCGGGTGTAGGGCAGTAGGGGACAGTATAAGTACAATTTTTCGTTCGGAATTAACTATATTCCTGTTGCCTGATGATTGCGTAAGCATGAAACTTAAAGTAGCAGCAAACAAGCCTTGATTGTCCTTGTTGTTCTGTTGTGTTGTATATTCCTTAATAATAATAATAATATCTTTATTAGGATGACCCAGAGGCTTCTTATAAGGGGTACGAAATAACTAAAATTTGTTCCAAACTAAAGTCTTTTCTGAATGTTCGGGGTGACAGACCTCGACCAAAAACGAGTACGTAACAAGCCTGCTGGTGGAGTGAAATAACGAAAGATTTCGTGAACGAAAACACATGTGAGACATTCGGCGACCTGACACCTAGCTCCAACAAAGGTGTCAGGTCGCCGAATGTCCCAGTACTCCTTGTCAGTTTTGTGGCATTTTGTCGCACTCGCTGACTGTATAAGATCTGGTTACGTTGGTGGACAGTTGGTCATAACTCGTAAAATGTTGTCCTTCTCCTTTTTCACCATAATTTAATTGGCTTACCATCCAAGTTCAAGTTTTTTATTCTATATATATTTGTTTGAGGGAAAGGTGCAAATTAATGTTGATATTCTATGGCTGCGATTGTGCAGTTTGTTCATACGTCCCAGGTACCTCAGCCTGGACGGAAACCCGGTTTGCGACGATCGAATCCTCAGCGGTGTGTTGACAGAGCCGTTCAGGTAAACTGCATGTGCAATCAGTATAGACCAGCTAACCAGACTCAACTCGAGGTTCAGTTCCCTGGTTTGTTCAATACAACAGCACTGGCTGGACACACATCAATCCCCCTTGCTCTGTGCGTGTGTGTGTGTGTGTAACTTATGTGTGCGTGTGTGCACATGTGTGTATACAATATTATGTGTGTGCATGTGTGTATACAATATTGTGCGCGCAGTTTTCGTCGGCCGCAGGACATTGCGAGGCATAAGTGTAACGCTGTTCGCGCGGCCCGCGCGCGCTGAGTATGGCGTTCCCCGCCCGGTGGACAACACGTCTCCTGGTCTGCCCCGTATGGGGCCACATAGCCAGTCATGGCAGTGGAAGAAGGAAGGAAGGACAATATTATGTGTGTGCATGTATGTATGAGTATGTGAGTTTGTGTGAACACGTATTTGTGTGAACATGTATTTCTCTGTGTGTGTGTGTATATGTGTGTATGCATGTGTGTGTGTGTGCATGTGTTTGTTTGCATGTGTGCGTATGTTTCTCCCACAGCCTATCGGTGAGAGTGTGTGCAATCGACGACGACATGTGCTTGAAGCTCGAAGCACTATACTGCTTGCCAATACCTGTCTTCACATACTTGATCTCAGCCTCAACAGGATCTACATGTATGATACCGGTGCCCAAGCCGTAGCCAGAGTAAGAAAATACATTATTTTCCAGCGGATGCGGGCATGGTTGTGCACTACTGAGTCAGTATGAAGTCCGATCAAGCGAGTCTAATCATTGGCACGCCAGGCCGCACTGTGTAGCCCCAGAGTTGTGAACACTGGGCTATGCCATGGCAAACGGCACAAATAATAATTCCGTCGATCGGATGTCATTGATCAGCACTGTATGAGTCTCGCGTAGTTAGCTGAAAGAAGTGTTTGTTTCAACGTTTTGTCAGAAATCGTGTTTTTGGCATTTTTGTTTGGAATTGCATCTGGCCAGGTTGAGAAAGGATAAGCGGTACATGCCAATTGCCATACAGTATGCATGTGAATGTATGTTATAAAAAACCAAAAATACCAAAAATGGGGATTCACTGGCCAGAAAAAGTCACTTCAAATAGCTGTATGGTGTAGACCAGGCGGAATTGTGACGGTCAATTCTTCAGCCTTGCAAGCTGTTGAATGGTGCAATCCCAGCACAAGTTGCTATGGCTTCTGCCGTAGCATTGCTATCATCGCCTCTGGTGATGGACGTCAAAGGTCTGTTATAGGATTTACGTTTAGTTTGCTCTTGATACCCGCGAGGGTACCAGGTTCAAGTTCTGCTTGGAAGCGGAAGGATTTTTCCAGCCGTGCTGCGACCCACAGTTAAAGGGGAAGTATACCCTAAAATCAAATTTTCACCAGTTGTAGTCTTCTGGGTGCTGAGTCGAATGGTCTTGGTCCGAGGAAGCTGCGACGCTCCCTTCCTGCTTGAATCCCAATCGAACTCGCGCACTTCCACCGAAACTGGGTGACTGCGCCCTACTAGATGGGGATTTGTATGCAAAATGTCACTAAAAGCGCCATTTCGTTCTTATAAAAGCACGGATGACCGCGATTGGCCCATATGTTGTAGTCTTTTGGACGCTGAGTCGACTGGTTTTGGTCCGAAAAGGCTGCGATGCAGCGTTCCTCCTTTATTCCCAATCGAACATGGTTGAAGAAGCGGTCACGTGCTCCTGGGTGCCCAAATCACCTGGTCACCGCGCCAGCAGGCGACAACTTTCACACCAAGGTTCAACTCGAGTTCAACTCGAGTGACAGGACTGCACCCAAAAAAGGTCAAGCAGGCTAGTAAGTTGTACCCTGCAGGCACGGTGACCAGGTGACTGGTGTACGCAGGAGCACGTGACCGCTTGTTCAACCATGTTCGATTGGGAATAAAGGAGGAACGCTGCATCGCAGCCTTTTCGGACCAAAACCAGTCGACTCAGCGTCCAAAAGACTACAACATATGGGCCAATCGCGGTCATCCGTGCTTTTATAAGAACGAAATGGCGCTTTTAGTGACATTTTGCATACAAATCCCCATCTAGTAGGGCGCAGTCACCCAGTTTCGGTGGAAGTGCGCGAGTTCGATTGGGATTCAAGCAGGAAGGGAGCGTCGCAGCTTCCTCGGACCAAGACCATTCGACCACTTGCTGGTGAGCTGATCTACTCACCTCCCGCCGCTTTAGGAGCTGCATCTGCACCTTGATCCTTGAAGGGTGGTGGCGTTCCTACGGATGCGGAAAACTCGGCCTCTAGCTGAGTCTGACCCGAACCGTGAAAAATGAAAATTGATACCCTCCCCTATTTGAATCGCAACGAATTCATTGTGCTTCTTCCAGTAAGCATTCTGAGTTGCTCTGTAAAGTGTTTGTTTTTTGAACTGTGTGTGTTGCACTGAGTACTCTGCACAACGGATAAACCCATTCTGGTGTTGCAGATTCGCCAGTAGTGTGTCATGCAAGTGTTAAGTTTCGGAGAGAAAAGAGCAGTACGTGGCATGTGGCCTCTAATTTCCTAAGAACTTTGAAATTCTCTGTGAAGTCCAAATTTGAAATTGCAATTTGTATTTGCTCGCAGTGGACATAGTTTG